GGGGGTGGGGGGGCTGGTGAGGGGTTTTTTTTTTGGAGGGGGGTGTGGAGAGTGTTTCATCATCTTTGGAACTCACACTTTTGTTTCATCACATGTTATACTGGTAGTAGGCAAATGGTAAAATTTGTTTAGCTTTTAAAAACTGGTAAGACTAGGCTCCTGAAAGGGGGGGCAACTTGCACACGCAGTAATTATACCCCCTCTACCACTCTTGTGCTTATCTTTGTAATGGATTTAAATACTCATTCCCACTATCACTAATTTAATGGTTTTCTAGGATCTCTGACAGTTTAGACACTCACACCTTGTCAAGCTACCAGTGCTGTGGATTTGGGTGACAAGAACAGATGGAAGAAAAAAGAAAATCCATCTTCTAGGCTTCTTCAGTTTTAAGACCACTTGAGCATGAAGCAGGCCAGCACCATCTCACTGAGAATGAATCTGAAGGCAAGCTGTGCATTAACACCACACATGGTGGTCAAGATCCTGAAAGCAGCAGCAACACTCCCTCTTCAAGGATTAATGCTGCCTTTTGTACATTGTCAAGGGGATGAGAGTTAATAAGCAGTGAGATTCTTTATCAATTATTAGAGGGAAGGCCCTAGCTTCTAAAAAACTGCCATTATGCGTAACTAGCTCTGACACAAAAATCCCCAAATACTAAACCTTTCTCCACCAAAAAAAAAAAGGTGAGAAACAGTATTTAATTCACTTTAAATACTATCTAGTAATAGCCTAAATTAGCAGAGTGAAATAAGAAAGGGCATGAATTCAGTCACTTTTAGGGCACCATCATACATAGGCATAACACGTGAAAGACTTGCAGCATAAAGTGGCATAGGTCATGGTGGTTGGGTTTTTTTATTATTTCATGCTGGTTGATTTTAGTTGTTGTTTTTGTTGGGGGTTGTTTTGTTTTAAAAACTTCAGTGGCTCCCTTTAGCCTTACGAGAGAGTGGGTATATCCTACCTTTCTGACAGACAGTCTACATCAAAGCAAATGAACGCACATACCTAGGTAATCGCAGACAGTGTAAAACACTAATTCAGCATTTCATTTATTGGTCATTATTTTTTACAATTTATTTTGCCATTTTAAAAATGTCGCATCATTTTAAGAAACGAAATAATATTTGTTAAAAGTTGAAACCTTACCCTTGGGTTAAACCACAGTCAAAGGAATAATCTTTACCTGAACAGCATTATGTATGTTGAAAGCATCAGCCAGCAAGTGGCCTTGCTTCATATATTCCTTCTAAACAAAATGTAAATCAGTTTGACAGCATGTAACGAACAACACAAAAGCATTGCTCATCCGCAATTTCAATGTGACTGCTTACAAACAAGACTCAAAAACCATTCTGTGTCAGTACAGCACAGAAAATAGTATGGCTAAAATAAAAGCAGCCAGACAAACAGTGAGATAATACAAATCAGTAGGCAGAACATACACGCTTCAACTGGAACTTACCACAACATGGAAAAACCATCTTTTGCTTACAGCCTTGCCCAGGAACAATCAAAAAGTGAGCATGCAGCATCCACGTTCTCTCTTCTGAAAGTATTTCATATGGATTGAAAGATGGATTTGTGGTGGTCAAACAATCCATCTGGTTTCTAAAACTGAACAAACACTCTTTAGTTCACTGTGTTCAAAGGCAAAAATAAAATATTTGCCTCTGAACTAGACCCACATGCAATCAAGTATGGACAAGCAGACAATGTTTGCAACATTATTGGCAGCATGATACAACATTCTATGTACAAGTTTGGGCATCAGAGTTAAAACATCATGTCATCTAGTCCGTCCTCCATAAACTTCTTGTAAATTGCCATAAACTTTGCTACAAATGCTTCCAGGTGATAAATGGCTTTGCTGCCCAGTTGCAGGCGGTGTTCATAGAAGGCTGCCATCTGTGCAACTTCTCCTTTCAGTTGTCCATCACAGTTATTTAGAAGTTCTGTCAGGAGGCCCTAAAATGGAAAAAAACCAGAACAGTATTTGAAAAATTACATATTTTTTGTTAAGAGGATAACTTCATTCCTCAGAAAACAGCCAAGCTATGACCAATAGTTCACTCACAAATCCAACAGAAAAGACATTCAAGAATCATTACACCACCTATTTGACAGAACTAGATTCATGGAACCATGTCTCTTCAGAACTTTCTTTCAAGATAAATTCCTCATGTCAAAACAGATGTTACCTAATGTGTTCTCAGATGGAAAAAATCATGTATTGAAACTACTTATACCTTAATAAAGAATATAAATGACCCTTATCTCCAAATACTATAACCTCTACTGCATGCAGGCACAAGGCCCTGAGGAGAATTTTTACCAAGACAGGAAGTAAGTGATTTCAATACACTTGCTATCTCAACAGCATCGAGCACAAAACCAACATTAATAAATAACAAGGAAAGGGCTTATTTAAATTTTAAGTATATGTGTTTATATTTACATACATATTATGCGTAGACAGACACAGATACTTTACAACAATATTTGAGTCATCACAAAAAAAACCCCAACCAAAAATGCATTCTTTTAGATCAGGGACAGCAATAAAATAATTGCAAATCCTTCTCTATTAAAATGGTCAGGATTAAGTGAGAAGTATCTCTAGATGATTTCAAGTTTATGAAGAGGGAATGGGTAAGGAACATCCACCTTCGGCCTGACAACAGTCCTCAAACAGGGCAATGCAGGATCCACTAACCTACCATAAGAAAGGAAAGTTAAAAAAACATCTAACTACCAAAACTGTCAGTAAGCAGAAATCAGTTAATGTGAAAAGAAATTCATTATCTTGTAATTATGCCTGATGGTAAAGTCCATGTCGGTTTAAGTTGCAAACATTAGCTTTAATCTTTGTTCTGCTCTAGTTGTCTTCAGCATCCTTTTATCTTGCCTAAAATAAAAACATGCACGTCCCATTTGCTTTATTTCTCCAAGATGACTTCTTGTTTTGAAGAGACCTGCTGGTCTAGCATCTTTCAGCAAACCTCTCTACTAGGACATAGCAAATACTGAACTTATAACAACAAAACTTCTACAAAAGAAAACAAACCATATCAAAATTAGTCCATAAAAAATGTCTATGTCTCAGTACAGGAACTGGCCTGAGAAGCCTTCAGGGGGACAAAGCATGTCCTCCTTTGTTTTTACTCAGCTACGATACTGCTGTTGTGTTACACAGAACAAGTTTTACTAAATCATTCAACACAAGTGTGAACAAGGAAGCCTGCAACAAAAATAAACTATATATTTACATTTTCCAAATTCAGGAACAGAATCTTCCTGCCCTCAAAATCTACACAACTCAAAACCAACATGCCTAAATATATTTAGGCATGAACCTAACTAAACAGTCTAGTATATTGACTGAGGATCAAGAGAAGTGAATGTGATGTATCAGTGTTTGGAGGAACAAGGTCTTTAATTACTGCTTCAGAGCAATAATCTGGACTACCTGGGTTACTCTAGTGGAAAGAAACACAAGAGAAAAGTATCTTTTGGTCACTCACATCTATTTGGAAAGGACATAGCAAATTATGCAAATATTGATGAAAAGCTATGTTTTGGTGGATTTTTTTTTTTTTTAAATTCAAATTGAGACTGTCATAGCATTAATACTTATAATAGATTAAGAGCTAGATAGGTGAATTACCTTCATTATAATCTCAGGAGGGATGCAGTGTGTCAGGAGCTCATAAAGCCGTCCACGGACCTCTAAAAGCCTGTTGGAAAGACACCACAAAACATCAGAAGTATGTCCCCAAAGCATACTATTGTGTTTTCACAGGCTGTACATATATGAGACAGAGATGGATACAGGGGGCATCTCCTAATGTGCTTTAAAAAAGTGATGATGTCTCATTTCCAGTTCTTTTACAAAGGTCTGTTACACTAGTGAAACAGAAGCCTTAAATAAACCAAAAAAACCTAAACAAACAAAAAAAAACCCAAAGAAAAACACATACACCTCCCCCCTCCAAAAAAAAAAAAAAAGACAACAGCACAACATGCAACTAAGCTTATGCTCAGTTTTGATTACAAAGCTTCAGCAGAGAAAACCAACAATTGTTTCAGTTCCTGAAGCTCATTATTCAGCCTCCTTTGGTAATTTTAAAGCTCAATTCCTCTGGCTGCAAAGTACCAGCTCCAGTAGAAATGCCAGAAAGTTACATATAAGTAAAGATGCCACATTTTTAAAAATATAAGCTTTTTTTTAGGTTCAGGAATACACCAAAAATATAATTTATAGCTGCAAGCAAGTACATTCACCTACCTTTGTGGTGTCTGTTGACCGACAATAGCATTTGCGGTTTCTCTCAAATAAACTTCCCAGTCCATCTCAGGAATGTCTTGATCAGCAGTAAAAGGATATCTACAGAAGAATAATATTTTAAAAAAATTAAAATCAAACTGTCACCTATTCTATCAAGGCCTCAGAAGTAAGTTCATTTATGTGTCTCAGAGTATAATTTACATTAATTGTTAGCAGTGACTTACTGTTGTACTCTGCAGGACTCACACATAAGTAGTGCTTTCCGAAGATTCCTGCCAGATTTCTCTGCAAGCCTTTGAGCCAGTTCCTGCGGAAGAGTCAGGCCTTCTTTCTTACACACACTGGACAAGACATGGCAGATCTAGATGGGTAACAGATAGCAGGGAGTGCAACATTTAACAAACAGTTTAGCACCTACAGATTCTCCTGCCTGAAACACTTCTGGATCAGAGACAGACCAGTATTTCATAAGACATATTTGACAAGTCACCCACCACAAAGAAAAACTAGGTCACTTTGTGGAAGCCAAGTTCTGCTGTGGACTTATGAAATATTAATCTATTAAGAACTTTTAAATAACTACTTTCTGCTTCTGTTTCAACCTACATCTTCAATGCTGGGAGCAGGCACTCGTACAGCCAGGCATCTGCTTTGAATAGGTCCTATAATTTTTGACATGGAGTTGCAGCACAGGATCAATCTGCAGGTCGCCATGTACTTCTCCATTGTTCGTCGCAAAGCATGCTGAGCATCTTTAGTGAGTTTGTCGACTTCTGTTAACAGTACCACTGAAAAGGTATTAAAAATAGGGGATTTTTTTTATTAATATCAAGTATTTCTAAGAAAATGAGTACTTCGACATACAAGCAACAATACCAAAATAAATGACACAAGCAGAAAAAGGCAGTGTGGTTCCACAAGCAGGAAAATAAAGATTAAGACAACCTGCGTGCCTTTTGACTGTATAATCTTCTGCTCCTTCACACCCTATATTTATGTCCTAGAACATCAATTTCTTCATAGCAGGGCCTGCAACACTTCAGTGCCAAGAAATAATCCTCGTAGGTGTAGAAGCTTTCACTTTGATAATTAGAACAGTAATTTTTAAAGGAATTTTTAAGTAAGAAATGCAAAAGAATTTATGGCATAAGGACATATCAAAAAGCACAGATTCATTGAAGACTCCCCTCAAAACATTTTATATTTAAAAGCCAATGTCTTAGCTTAACAAAGGAGTAGTAGAAAGCTGCCTTGTTATTGTAGCTGCAGTGCCTTTCCATGGTCTTTTAACGAAAAGGAAAAAAAAAAAAAAAGAAAAACATGTTTCAAAAATGCTTCAGAACAGTCAGGAGACACCTAATATCAAGCAGTTAACCTGACCAGCTACCTTCTGCAGGTTCCTCCATAGGCAACTCATTTCAGTACTCTGAATGGTGCAGGGAAACAGCCTAAAGGAACAAGTCAGTCCATTACTCTTCTCCCATTTCTCTTCTGGTTATATAGGAAGCCTAAGGAGACCAGCCAGCTTACCAGATACTTTGAGGTGCATGGTATGACTGCTGCTGTAAGGATATATACATCAATAACTGCCAGAGCCAATCAGTGGCTAGCAGCTTAGGTGAAATATAGTATTTCCTGAGAACAGTGAGGAAAATGAGACAAAGTACTAAATTCATGACCACTTTCAACTAATTTCTGCTGTACTATATCTGTCAAGATTTCCTCTCTCCTTCAATCTCTCATTATATAGTTCTGATTTTGCTTTCAATTTAGTCATGGGGAGGAAAAATAAGCCAGTTGTAGCAACACGTCTTAGAGAACTCAGTGAAAGCCTTCTTCATTTTCTTACCCAGTGTCAGTACACTACAGATAAAATGCTTCTAAACTTTCTGCCTAAGATAGCCTGTCCCCCAAAACACTACAAATAAGCAGCCAACACCTAACTTACACAGCATCATTTGCCATAAGGTTATCCTGCTCCTCAACTCAATATTAAGCCTCAGTAGTTCAGTAACTACCGCAGATGATTAAACAACGTTACAATGCATTTCAATGGCAGACTTGGG